TTTGATTTGGCGACAAGTTTCCCTATTTAAGACAAAGAATTAAATAGGATTTATTTTAGGTTGGGTTCGGAAATGTTTTCTAAAAGGGCAAGCCTCTATAGTTAATTACATCTTAGATAACCGAAGTCACCGAAGAAAACTCTTGATAAAAATCAGAGAAAATTATCTTAAAAGAGGCCAAAGGATTAGGAATTTTTAACAAAATAGGACAAAGAGGTGTGGAATGGGAATAACTCAAGTTTGGAACATTTTTTGTAGAATCCAAAGGAGGAAGAACAAAAGGATGTCATAGATCCGAAGGAGCACTTCGGTGACTTTCCAAGCTATCCTATGGTTTGAATTCAATTTTAGAGATTAGAATTATTGAATGTTTCATCCTGCCAATTTTATTAATTAGGGCTTATATTAGTGTGAGACGATCACACTAATAGCCTGGAAGATGTGAGAGTTTGGGTCTCGGAATCCTAAAGCAGGTTAGGGCTTAAATTGTATAGCAGAGCTATACAAAGGCCTAAAGATAAATTGAGGATTTATGTTGCATAAGCAAAAAATCTCAAATTCCTATGGATTTGTTATTTAATTCTAAGGGATGGTTTAGCTGATGAAGACATGTTTTGCTGCTGAAGATGGTCATGCTGCCCACGATGCTATCTTCAAGCTCCTCATTGTAGCAAGTTTAAGTTTTCTAATGTGTTGAGTTATGATGTCAAATCAGATGTCCCTTTGGTTAGACATACTTGAAGCTATATAATATAAAGTGTGCAATGCAGGAACAAACAATAGAATGCATGTGAAACAGTAGTAGGCAAAAATAGGGGCAGTATAACGTGCTATACATGAAAAACAGTAGCAAGTAGAAACAGGACAAGTGTAACATGCTTTACAGTACGGTAGCAGTCAGAAACAGGAAAATTATAACATACTATACAGTACAGTAGCAGGTAGAAACAGGACAAGTGTAACATGCTGTACAGTACGGTCGACAGGTAGAAACAGGAAAATATGCTATACAGGAAGAACAGTAGCAAGTAGAAACAGGACAAGTGTAACATGCTTTACAGTACGGTAGCAGGTAGAAACAAAAACAAGAAAATTAAGTGCTGTAAAATGTAAAACAAACTTATACACCCGTGAGATCCGATGTTCCTTAAGTATAACAAGCCTAAAAACCTAAATGTATCTCAAAAAGCAAAGTTCGAAAGAAACGTCGTCCAGGAAACCCGAGGAAAAGCAGAGAAACTCGAGAAAATCAACAAAAAAAAGACTCAAGTAAAAGAAACCCTTCAAAAATCCCAGGAAAATCCCAAAAGAAAGGAAAAGTAACACGAGTGCCCTGTCCCAAAGCTTCGATAAAACAAAGAAACAAAATTCGGATGGGGGACCGTAAGCACTTGTATGAGACTAGGCTCAGCTGTATATTTATTCTCGGAATCCATGAAGGCTGCTCGGTCACCCGAACGTATAGAACCCGCCACTCGTCTAGAAGGGTGTCTTGAACCTCACTTAGGGGGCTATTTCCCAGCCTAAACAGGTATTCGTCAGGTGGACAATGTATTTTAAAAACATATTTTAAAATTTATATTTTTGACATACACATAAATCTTGAAAAAGATTATCAAATTTTGTTTTATGAAGAAGAATGTATTTTATATTTTAAAATAGATTTTAGCAATTTTTATTGTCCACAAGACGATTACACTGTCAGGCATAGGATCGCCGACCGACTGAGGA